AGGCATGATATTAACATTAGCATGCAGACTTTGTAAATTCAGCAACTCTTGTAAATAATTGGCTTTTTCATTAAATTGTTGTGCTTGTCTGGTATGTAGTTGGGCAGCTCTGAATGCCTGGATTTTTTCATCATTCTCTTCACTGTCTCCTGCTAGCACCATTTGAATTTTTTTGTCCAGCTCAAAGCACTGGTTCTCTAGTTCGTCAAACAGTTTCTTAAACACACCGAAGCTAATGTGAAGTCCAGGAACACAAACCTGAAATAGACAACCATTTAGTAAGGTGTCCTGTAAGTCCCTCTTCAAAGCAATAAAATAAACTCTTGTATCTTACTTTGTCCAATTCAATGTCCAGCAGTTTCTCGTGAATCACATTGTGATAAAACTTCTGTTGACTTGTAACAGAGCCATCTGCTACAAACTTATCATAATCCTCTTGAATGTTTTCAAGACTTCGTTTTTCAGCATGCCCATGTTTATGGCAAGAGACTTGCGTTACTTCAGGATTTATCTTGCACCAAAGACATGGATATTTGCCTGCAAATACAATTCTCATGGTGGAAATCTGTTTCACAGAAATAGTTATGTAGAGTAGAGGCTACATTTTATATTCTTTATATTCTTTTTTTATACAATTCAGGAGCTGTGTAGCCAACCTTGTTGAACTGACTTAAGAAAAACACGAGTGCCCAAGTGTTAACTGAAATGGTTCAGTGTCGAAATGAGAAACGGTTCAGCTAACTGTACTTTAGTGACTTGACACAAACGGTTCAGAGTAGTGTGAAATGGCTTAAGTTATCGACAAATGGTTAATCGTAGGCCGCAATGGTTTAGTATCGCATCAATCTCCTCACCGTAAAGTGAAATGGTTTAGCGTGACCTCAAATGCTTTACACTTGGCCACTCATCTTTTTATTGAATCAGTTCAACAAGGGTGGCTACACAGCTCCCCAATTGTATAAACCATTTTTTGTTTGAATATTTCATTTCACCAAATGCGACTTGTCCATTTGTATTTTAAATAAATCTCTTAGGATAAGATAAATCGTTCTCCAAAAGACAATTAGACTCTATCTGTTATTACAAACCAATTCTATTTTTGTATTTTTGGCGGTGACAGCTGCCCATATGTGGGCTCTTCTTTCAATTTCAGTTGGAGCATTTCCGGCTTCAAGCTTGCACAGATTTATGGGCCAAGGAACTTTCTGTTTCATTTTCACAACGCGCCGTTGCGATTCTCCGTTCCATGACATAGCTTTCGAGTCTTTCTTAGTACTTTCTCTGTCTTAGTGACTTTCAAACATTTTCATGACGGACTGAGGAAGCAAGGTCGTAAAATAGTCAAAGGTGCCTTCCATTTCCGCGACAGAGGTAAGAACGCATGGTTGTATCAGATTTTTGAGTGTAAGGTAAATACTTTTATTTTATTTCCTCCTTCAAATGTTCCTCATCTTTCCGAACTTTCTCTGATTTCCGACAATGAAATACGTTCCTGCAGTTAAGTGACGACGATTGCCAACTTTTACTTTATTCTGGCGTGTATTAATTGTATTGCCGCTTCGTGTTAGCTACAAGCTTGTTTGAACAAGTTACAGCTGTCGAATTCACAAAAATTCGCAAGCAATGCCTGGCATTTACCTTGGACAAAATAAGTAATTCGGGAGAGTTACAAAGGATATCGAAATTATCGATTTGATTCAGTGCAAGCTCTTTTGATCGCAACACTTTCAGTTTCGTTTACGTGTCATGCGGAGCATGTACACAATCGTGTTTGGCACTAGCTTTCATGTCGGGCTTATGTACGTATTAACTTAATTTGCTCCCGTATTTACGATGCATTTGATCAAAAAGCGATAAACATTTTCAGCGTATTTCATGTGTTTATGTTTATCATTTTATACTGTAGTTTGAAAGTGATTTTTTCTTTTCAATAGACAGCTTAGATTGTCCTTCCAAACTGTACTGACCTCTCACGCGAAAACGCTCCTTACGGTATCCGTTCGAACGGTCGAACGCACGGTATGTGAACGGATGACAAACGGATAGAGAAACCGTTTAAAACGGATGCCATGAACGGCTGAACGGCTTAAGAAAAATTTCGAACGGTTGAAGTCGAACGGCTGAACGGCTAAAGGAAAATTTCGAACGGTTGAAGTCGAACGGCTGAACGGCTAAAGGAAAATTTCGAACGGTTTAAGTCGAACGGTTGAACGGCTAAAGGAAAATTTCGAACGGTTGAAGTCGAACGGCTGAACGGCTTCAGAAAAGTTTCGAACGGTTGAAGTCGAACGGCTGAAGGAAAATTTCGACCAGCTGAACGGCTGAAGTTTTCAACGGATAAGGTCAAAGTAAACGGTTGAACGGCCGATCAGAAACATTCGAACGAAATGACAGTAATTAAGATAAACGCGACAAGCGCTGCTTAGATCTGAAAACTGATAGAAAACCTAGAATAAATCTAATCCTGTTTTGAAAATAATAAGTCTTTTGAGAGTAAAGCAAATTCGTTTTCGCGGGGGAGAAACAAAAGCCGGTAATAGTCTGCGTTCTCTTTTAAAATAATTGTCATGCAACCATTTCCAGAATTCGTAATGTAACGCCATTAATTGACTTTGTAAACATCTCGTTTCCGAACACAGGCGACGCTTTCCACACCATGTATCTTCAGAACTAACAGGCACAATTTATAGTGACAATTTTTACGATGTGCCGAGTAATTTTCGCTACCTTGAGTGCAAGCAATTTTTTTAAGTTAAGAAAGAAGCGGGTGCCATTATTTTTGTCCACTGCGTTGATGTGAGTGTGTACAATAAAAGCGAATCAGCGAGGCATGCGGATCGAAATTCTACAGTTTTTATTGGACAAATGGAGAGTAATTGTTTTCAACTTAGCATATGAATAACACACACGCTTTGTGTTTGCATTGGTAATGAGTGGATTGACATCTTGCCGACGGTACGGTGTATTCCCTCAGGAGATTCCATTTTGATTTCAGTCAAAAGCGCTTGATATTTGCATACTGTCAAACGTCAAAACATTTTCGGTAAACTAGTTGAATAAACTTGATCTTGAATAAAAAATGTGTATCGATAATCGAATGTTAGGTAACTAAAGATGATGGAGGAGTAGAAAAAGAACCGTGACTATTCATGAAGGCATTTGTAAACAATGCTTATATTTACAAAGTTCGTGTTGAATGAAGAATTTAGATATATGAAAATTCACATATTTGCACTGCGGTGGAGAGATGAAATTAGAAGATCCTCGCAGCTAAGAACACTACTGAAACTAGTAGTTGTAAATAGGACCTGAAAAAAATTCAGGCCCGTACGGGATTTGAACCCGTTGTACCCGTTGAATTGTACCCAATTCATTGACCAGCTCCCAGTTGGCTTGTTAGCTCAATTGGTAGAGCGCTGCACCGGTATCGCAGAGGTCATGGGTTCAAATCCCGTACGAGCCTGAATTTTTTTTTTTCAGGTCCTATTTACAACTACTAGTTTCAGTAGTGTTCTTAGCTGCGAGGATCTTCTAATTTCATCTCTCCACCGCAGTGCAAATATGTGAATTTTCATATATCTAAATTCTTCATTCACTTGGATGTTTATTTGTACCCAATTCATTGATCAGCTCCCAGTTGGCTTGTTAGCTCAATTGGTAGAGCGCTGCACCGGTATCGCAGAGGTCATGGGTTCAAATCCCGTACGGGCCTGAATTTTTTCAGGTCCTATTTACAACTACTAGTTTCAGTAGTGTTCTTAGCTGCGAGGATCTTCTAATTTCATCGTGTTGAATGTTGTTACTGTTATTCTCCCACGCGATAGTACTGTTGGTTTGGCAAGCATGCTCTAAACAAAGCAGAGTTTAATTCCTTGCAGAGGGGAAACACGCTATATTAGGAACCTTCAAGTGTTTACCAAACTAACTTTAGTCTGTCTGATGTACTCTTGACTGATCGCAGTGCGAAGACTATTAACTTTGACAGGATCACGGCTCGAAACATCCCTTCCAAAGGAATTGTAAGCTACGGTTTCAAAACATATCGCCAGCCGTTCGACACGAACATCCAGTTCGAACGGCTCACAACTTTTTTGAAACGTATAGCTCCAGCCGTTCGAACGGCTCCCAATTTTTTTTGAACGGATAGCTCAAGCCGTTCGAACGGCTCCCAATTTTTTTGGAACGGATAGCTCCAGCCGTTCGAACGGCTCCCAATTTTTTTTGAACGGATAGCTCAAGCCGTTCGAACGGCTCCCAATCTATTTGGAACGGATAGCTCCAGCCGTTCGAACGGCTCCTAATTGTTTTTGAACGGATAGCTCAAGCCGTTCGAACGGCATCCCATCCCGTTCGAACGGCTGATGAACGGCTGATGAACGGCTTACGAACGGCTATCCGTTTCAAAACGGCAAACCGTAAGGAACGTTTTCGCGTCTCAATATTTAACAAGGAAATAAGTCTTATTTCCTTGTTAAATATTGAGACAAGTTGATTTTTTCTTCAAATTCAGCTAGTTATTTACTGCAAGAGTCCTTTCAATTAACTGCATTCGAGTTTTAGGAATCCAATTCATCAACTGGTAATGATTGATTAGTGTCTGAGTGAAGTTTTACCTTTTGTCATCTGCTAATCAACATACGATCAATCAATAATCATATCAACTGAATGTTTCCGATCAATTTTTTTTTATCAAAACTGGTTTAGTTCTGCATGAGGCTGCATGCATCCAAGTATGTGTTTGTTGATAATTTATGTTGTTATATGGCAAGGTAATCTTGGGATAAATGTAAAGTTCTGATTGGTTCTTACTTGGTCAGGATTTTGCCACATAGACCATCATTGCACCATACAGAAAATCATAAAACATGTATATTCATTGTAAACTAGTTTAGTCCAAGTGACATTGGTGCATGACAATTACCTTGCTCTCTTGAGGGGTACTGGGGAATATTGGCACCATGTCATTCCTATACTGTTACAACCTTGGGCCAATACCCTGGTGAAAATCTTTCAAGGATCTTTAAGGATCTTACAAGATCTTCATGAGGACCTTTGAGGATCCTCTTGAGGATCTTCATGAGGATCTTCAAAATTCTTGTTAAGATCTTCAAGGATCCTTCATTTTCTTGCCAAGATCTTCAAGGATCTTTCATTTTCTTGCCAAGATCTTCAAGGATCTTTCATTTTCTTGCCAAGATCTTCAAGGATCCTTCATTTTCTTGCCAAGATCTTCAAGGATCTTTCATTTTCTTGCCAAGATCTTCAAGGATCTTTCATTTTCTTGCCAAGATCTTTGAGGATCTTTGACTTTCTTGACAAGATCTTTAAGGATCTTTCATTTTCCTGTCAAGATCCTTGAAGATCTTGTCTGGATCTTCAAAGATCTTTACATGAACTTTGAAGATCCTTTAAAGATCTTTGAAAATTCTTTGAGGATCTTCCAAATTCTTGTTAAGATCTTTGATGATCTCTCATTTTCTTGCCAAGATCTTCAAGGATCTTTTTGAAAATTTTGAAGATCCTTAAAGATCTTGGAAAGAAAATAAAAGACCCTTAAAGATCTTGGCAATCAATTGAAAGACCTTTTGAAGATCTTAGCAAGAATGTTATAGAACCTTCGAAATTTTGACAAGAAAATAAGCATACTTAAATCCTCATACTAAGTTAAAAAGAAAAATTGAACCAAACATAAAAAAATGAAGATAAAACTTTTTTTTATTGCTAAACGAGAATTACCCATCCTCTTCTAGTAGGACTACTTCTACACTATTTCTGTTCAGACTTTAGGTTAGTACTAAGATTTTCATTTTCCAAAAAATCTGGCAACAGTCCAGCTCAAAGATAAGAAGACCAAAATATATGTGTTAAACTTGTCTAGGACTAGACTATGACCAGACTCAGACTACTCTTACAGAGGGGGTAAACATGAAAAAAAGGCAAACAAGAGTACTTCAATGACTATATTTCTGAACCATATTAACCTATATACCAAAGGAAAGCTTAGGAATCACACATACTGAATATAACTAATATGTTGCCCTAAACTAATTTGTTATTTGACATCAGATCAATTTGTCCACCACATGGTGTGAAAAACCTAGGTATACTTGAGAAAAGATAACTGCACAAAGATTGCATGAAATCAAGTGTTTTTAGTGTCAAAACAAAGTACTAGGGTCGTTCTTTTGGATGAGCTGAGGAACTTTTGGAGTCGTTTATATTATGGGCACAGTGCCCGTTCAAAGTTCACCGAGATTATTAGGTGAGTTGTTATTCCACAATATCTTACTTAAAATTCAGCTTATAGAGAAACTGTCAGCTTATCCAACTCAACTCAGTAAGAGGATACAGCCCTGAAAACTTCAGATTAATTGAACTAATACATCCTGAGGTACAAAATAAGTGTTTTCGGGAATTCATATGACAACCTCTAAAAGAGCTTTTTAAGTTGTTTACACAGAACCAAGTAAATTCACACCTTCTTCAGAAACATGTCCTTCAGTGAGCGTCGAGGAGAATCTCTCTAGATCGATAAGCCTGTATCCTTGTCCCTGTAACACATCATTTGCATCCTCACTCTCCAAGAGCTCAGAGCAAGAATCATTAGGCGAGGATGGAATCTTCATTTTCTTTCCAGAAGTACAAATGAATTCTTTTCATTCAGCCTCAGAGTCAGAGCAATCGCGAGACCTGCTTGGAGTTTGATTGACGATTTCGGTTGTTTCTGTCTCTCTTTTCGCTTGTTTCTGAACTCCAGAAAACGCCTTTCCTTTACTTTTATTTCTGTGCACATTTTCCCTTTAGTTCCGACCATTGTCGATGATATTTGCCGTAACAACGAGCTTCTTATGTTTTTATGTGACCGTTAAAAATCTCGGCGCGTATAAATTCCTATCCCATAATGCAAAACCTTATTTGTTGTCATGTAAGTAGTCACAAAGTTTCCCGAAAGCCTCGAGCATGGCGTTGCTATGCGGTAACCTTCATTACACTTATTGCACAATAATTTTCTGCGAAAATTCCTTGTTGTGTTTAAATTATAAAACAGTGAGCCCTCAATTTATAATTTTGAGATGTTTGAAATTACTCTTGAGGATTTCAAAGGAACCTAATTCATAATGCAGAGATGTGGTAGAGATCTTGACAAAGTTGCCTTTGAGATCCACATCAAATTCAAAAAGGATCCTTACAAAGAGCTGTACAAAATCATGAAATGAATCTTTTAAAGATATTTGGAAGATCCTTTTCAATTCCTTGAGGATCTTGAAGGATTGTAGAACAGATCGTGCTAAGATCTTGACTAGGATCCTTGTAACTCATGATCAAATTCCTAATGCTCTTAGCAAAGATCTTAGCAGGATCCCTGAAAGGTTCTTTTGAAGGTCTTTAAAAGATCCTCATTAAATCCTTGAGGATCCTGAAGGATCCTTGAAAAGATCCTGCAAAGATCTTGACTTAAGGATCCTTGTAAGATCCTGATCAAATTCCTAAGGATCCTGGCAAAGATCTTTACAGGAACCTTGAAAGGATCTTTTGTAGGTCTTTAAAAGATCCTCATTAAATCTTTGAGGATCTTGAAGGATCCGTGAAAAGATCTTGCAAAGATCTTGAGTAGGATCCTTGTAAGATCCTGATCAAATCCTTAAGGATCCTTGCAAAGATCTTAATAGGATCCTTGAAAAGATCTTTGGAAGGTCTTTAAAAGATCCTCATTAAATCCTTGAGGATCTTGAAAGATCCTCAAAAAGATCCTGCAAAGATCTTGACTAGGATCCTTGCAAGATCCTGATTAAATCCTTAAGGATCCTTACAAAGATCTTGAAAGGATCCTTGAAAGGATCTTTTAAGGGTCTTTGAAAGATCCTTGGTAAATCCTTGAGGATCTTGAAGGATCCTTGAAAAGAACTTTGCGAGGATCCTTATGAGGATCTTTGTAATATCCTTTGAGGATCTTTATCAAATCCTTGAGGATCTTAACAAACGTTTTTGCTTACAAAGATCTTTGAGGATCTTTTACAGATCCTTTAAAGATCTTTTAAAGATCCTTGTCCTTAAGGATCTTTGGCAGGTCTTTGTCAATCCTTGAAGATCCTCAAAGATCCTGTGAGGTTTTTCACCAGGGTATACCTCTGTAAAGCCCTGGCAGTCAGCTGGTTATATAGAAATTTGTAGTGGTTTTTGTAAAAGCTATATACACTTACAATTTTGTGCAAAGACAATGTAAATATAGAATAACTGCAAAAACAATTAGTTAAATATACATATACTAATAAAGCAAAAATGTCAGCACCTGTACCAAATTGAAATCCATTCCAACATACATCAGCATGTATAAATGTAAATATTTCACTGTTTTTCCTGTGATAAAGTGAAATAGTTGAACTAACAATCACCTATACAAATATGGGCATCAGCTCAACTGTAGGAAATTGAATAAATAAAATACATCTTTTATAAGTTTTGACTAGTAATCCCTATTTAAAAATCAAATATGAAAATTTTACTTTGGTGTTGTAAAATTTGTTTCTTATGAGAAACGATTCAGCATAAACTCTCTCCTCTTGCGGAGACATGGTGGTCTTATGATTTGTTAGGTGGACGCACGGTCAAGAGGTCTGCATTTGTAGCCTGGCCTCTGCTGGACTTAGGGTCAAGAGGTCTGGGTTCCAGTCAATGTATTGTGTTCTTGTCCAAAACACTATACTCTTACAGTGTCTGACTCCAACCAGGAGTATAAATGGGTAGCAAAAATTAGTAAGGGAAACCTGATAAAATGCAAGGGGGATGAAAGGGGGGGGGGAGGGATTACAGTGGAATGGACTTGCATCCTGTCCAGGGTTGGGTAGTAATACTCCCAGTTGCTTCATGTAAGGAAACCAGGATTAAGTAAAGCTCAGGCCCTGGACGGGCCACTTTTCAAATCCAGATGTGACCTAACTACCTACCACCTCTTAGTTTAAATGATTTAAATTGCTACTGTTACAAATTATATAAAACTTGAAACACACAGATGTTGATTTTTGCCCAATTTATTTCAGTCAATTGCATAGGAATGTCTTTGGTAAATCTTGAAATTTATTGTAATGAGAAGTGAATTACTGTTTATTTAAATATTAATGCTTGTTTTCTTCAGGATATATATCTTTTGTTCTTTTACTGCTTTAAATATGCTATTAATATTAATTGCTTGTGATTTTGTGTCTATGTATCCCTCCCATTCTCAGGAGGGAAAAAATATTTAGTTTACAATTGGGTAATATGTTGAGCTAATTTTTTTACCATTTGCAACCATTTTTTTTTTCAGGCCAGGATGACTTAAAACAGCAACTTTTTGAAAGAAGCATCCCCTTACAGTTGCTATGGCTAAAGAAAGAAGTCCAATTAAGGTTCCATCTGAAAATGAAGACTTACCTGACAAAGAAAATGCTCCAGATTTTGATGAGGACACTTTACGAGGTGAGCTAGGTTCAACTTTGGCTTCAGTCACTGTTAAAACGTTTTCTATTCCACCAGTTTCAAGAATGTAAGCAGATGTGGAGAATGATATTAATACACTGCATGACCACCTTAAAGGATGTTTGGCCAGTCATGACTCTCTTCTATGATTACAATATGCTGTTCATTGACTGAGAGGATCCATGACATATTTGTTATTTTCTTTTCTCAAATTTCAAAGCAAGTACACAAAGTTATAAAAGTGGCAGCTGGCACTAAAGGAAAAATCTGCAGATTTTAAATCTCCAGATCTTGGCAGCTCTGCTTATGCACTAATTAACTACAATCACAGGTAATTATTAACTACAACCACAGACTTTGACACAAATTATTTTTTATTTTTTCTTTGCAGCCACAGCTGATTTTTATAGAAATGAGGGTAATGAGGCCTTCAAGAAAGGAGATTTCATCAATGCTATTCATTTTTACACCAAAGGAATTAAAATGAACTGCAATGAGAAAGAACTGAAGGCCAAACTGCACAACAACAGGGCTATTGCACATTTTAAACTTGGTAAGATGATGAGAGCTTTAATATGCATTTTTTTCTATTTTGATGTTATTGAGTTGTCAGTAGTAGTTTTCTGAAAAAGGTGATAATTTTGAATGCATGCCCGGAAAAATTTAGATCTTATCTTGGCCTCTCAAATATACAAAGAAGTAACCTCTTACCCCAGATATCAATGAGCATCACAAGTTTTTCCCAAAATTATAGTAATGGTAGTTGGTTTGCAACATGTATGGCTAATCAGAGATATTTATTTCAATAACAGGAAATCACCAGGATTCACTAAGGGATGCAGAAGCAGCCATTGAGTTAAATCCAACTTTCCTTAAAGCAATTGTGAGAGGTTAGATATGTTAGCTGTGCTATAATAATAATAACAAAAGAACTCAACACTCTAAGGTTAAATGAGGTTAAATGGAGTTCAATCTTGTCTCAATTGACTTTAATTAAGAGGTCGAGACCACCCTGATGTACATTTGAATCCAGCTCTTGACTGCTACGCCATTACTTTCCATTAATCATGATAAGAATATTATTTTTAACGGGATGAAGAACTCAATGCGGAATGCAAAGCAAAATTTCAGCATGAATATTTTAGTTCCTTAAGTCCAATGAGTCACAGGTGTCAGATATGTTAAGAGCGTGTCCACGAGAGCACCGGGCAGTCGTGCTACAAGCCATCTCACCGATTTCAATGAAACTTTGGCAGTTTAAAGGGTCTACCCCAAAACTCAAAGAGACAAACTGGTTTCTGTCTTGGTTCTTCCGGGGGGAGATAGACCACCCCCGGTTTTTCTTGGTTTTCACCAAGGAAATCGCTTCAAATAGGTAAAATGTATGAAGCTCTCACGGCGATGGTATCTAACCGATTACTTTGAGGATTTGCACACATATTTTTACATCCTTAGTTAATGTCTGCTGCGAGTATCAGTCAGTTTGATTGACGGCTTGTCAATCAACAGAGGCAAATATACGACTTTGGTTTTAGACTTTTCGATTCATCCAAATATTTGACAACTTTGAGGTCAAATATCTCCCGTTGCCAGAAAGCTACAACACTAATCCTAATTCACCTTTATAACCCATCATTTCATCTCTGAAAATCATCAAAAAAATCTTTGGGCACTACCGTATTTTTGTTTCTCTCAACTACACCTGTCACGCAATTCTTGCTCTAGGCGGTCACTTGACAAAATAAACCTACATTTTTTAGTTCTTTATACAAGATGATTGATCAAGAAAGGTTAAAAATGT